TTTCTGATAGATCTGAAGCTGAAACAGGAAACGTCATCCATATGCCAGTTTTTAATTAAGCAGATACTCTTACTTACCGCTCATCGAATAAATATCTGCATTTCTTTTTTCTTGAAGGCGGATGGTTGTTTAGGGACACAACTTATGTACGTTGTTATAAAGGGTTCCTATAAGCATCTATAAAGATCAATAGAACTCAAGTGACCTGCACTTTTTATTGCCAATAATACAATTTTTTGGGCCAAATATGTACTTGGACTTGGTATATGGACAACAAATTAGGCTACAACACAGCTGTGGGGCAAGCAATGCTCACCTAGTCTGACGGGCCAGCAGTATATAAACACATGGACGGGGGGGCTTTTCAGTGTGAATGTGTTCTTGGCGGTCATTTCAGCCTTGTAATCGAGGGGCTGATTAAGGACTGAGAGAATGCAACAAGCTCCAATTAACGAGATGATGGGATGGAGAATCAGCCGTACCACCAGTGATGAGAACCGGGATTGAGGAGCATCGGCGTGGAGCGGCGTGGAGCGGCGTGGAGCGGCGCGTTTGGCCAGGAGCACCTCTCGTCCTCACAGCAGTCACACATCTTGCGTCGAAAATGCCACAGTCCCATCTGGGATCGTTCTGAGCTAATTTCATCTGAATTCCGATGGTGGACGCATTTAAATTGAAACGTCGCCGTTCTGTACGTAACCTTAACAAACCCGAGTCATTTGCGAGCGCACTGCCAAATGATCTATTTTATCGTTGTGTTTACTGTATGAGCAATGAGATGGGGCGAGCGAGGGCCACAGAGTGCACAGATTGATGGATGGACTGAGGATTGTTTGCGAGCAACAATATCTTTCCAAAGCAATTAGCATCAAGCTAACCGCGTTTATGTGCTGAATCCCAAAGCACTTGGTGATTAATTATAGGGCTGACAATGATTTGTGACGCTTGATCTTTGTGTGATGATCGCAGCACTTCCTTTGTTTACCAAAACTCCTCCTGAAGCAATATTCGCAGCACTTCAATGCAAACTCTCTGTGGTTAGTGTGCCAATTTCAATTTAGAAAGCATCTCAGGGCGCGCAGAGCCCTTCAAGCGCATATCACGAAGGTGTAGAAGTTATTATGAGGACAAGCTCAAAAACATACCACTGCGAGTGTATTCGATTACCAGGGAACCAACCAGAATGGGAAGAGAGCCGCGTGATGAATCCACACAATGAGCAGCGCGGTAGAACCACTGAATGACAGACGCGCTGATGCCGTAAATGAAGGGCTGACAACGTCGATGAATGGCCTCGCATTAAATGCTGACAGTAATTAGCGCTACTTTCAATGGGCTGATGGCAAGCTGATGTGGCGTGCATAACTTTTATTTCCTGCCTCAACGCCAGCTTTGCATGCAAGTATATGCGTTCAACACGTCGCCTACATGACACCGTCTTATGCATCGTGTTGGGGCTGATTGGTCATTAATTTGAGAAGCTACTTAGGGCTTTCACAGGGGGTTCCAAGGTGGGTAATATTAATGGATGCATGGATCTCGTCTGACAACACAACGCCGCTTAGTCTGTGAAACAAGTCTTCAAACTGCCTCGCATTTATTTATGAGCCCTTTATCAGCAACCTTTGCACTTGTGGCTCAGACCTGCCAAAAACAACAACAACAACAACAACCGCCCCTCGGGTGAGTTTTCAATATGCGATAATGAATGTGGGAGGAGCCGCCGCCTCATTTTCGGGAATACGGAATGTCGAAAAGGTCACGCGCATTAGATAGAAGAAGAAAGCGAGTGAGAAAGCACAAAGCCAGGCGCTGAATGCAAGAGCCAGCATGACACGAGGGAACACGTGTCCCCGCCTCAGAGCCGCCAGGTGCAACCTTTCTGCAGGGAGCACCTGTCGAGGCTCGAGTGTCTCACCGAGTGACCCCTCAAAGGGAGATGTTTTTGCCTGTCACAAAGTGACAATCTTTGAGTCAGCTTCTTGAACAATGTGGCCGCAGCGATTTCAGAGTTTGGAGCTGCAATCTGCGGATCTGGAGATGAGGTAATGGTAGCATTTCATCCATGCATCAGCCAATAGGGCTGAGAATACTTCAGCCGCTAAATCTTTCTCACACAGTCGGTTGTACATGAAATATTTTTCGAGAGTGTTGTTGAATAAACTACGCCACATTTTCTCCATACTGTTTTTTTTTTTCTTCGAAAAGCTAACACATCTTTGTCTGCAGGCCGGGACTAATTAAGAAAGAAGCTGAGACATACACATATCTCAGTGTCAGTTTTCCAGAGTTTTATAATTGTGAGCTGGAGGACATGATTATGCAGGCTCAAGGATTTATTAAAAGGGAGCAAACTGTAAGGCACTTGGTAACTGTACTAATCGGTGCAATGGCACATTGAGTTTGATTCGTTGTTCTGCTCCAGCCCAACCCCATATATTAAAGGAGAAAAGACAAAAACATGCCGTGAAAATGTCATGCTTTCAGCTCGCCCGCGCTTCCAAGTGGAACGTTTTGGGAGGGGACACACAAAAAACAAATAAGATGAGAGATTAAAGAAATTTTCCAGAAGGCAGCGCACACAGCGGGTGGCATGGATGATATATAGGGATCGTTTAGCTTTGGGGAGGAGGGATGAGTTTCACCCGACACCCGAACTATGTCTCAATAGGCGGCTTCCAGGCTCCTTGGTAGAGCCGGCCTGCACCTCTTCTTCTTCCTCGCCCACAGGAGCAAATCAAGTTTATTACAGCCTCTAATTACAATTACTGTCTCAAAGGGCTTCACAATGAAACAATAAATGAAATTGATAGATGAAAAGGGCACCAACAACCTTACACCCAGAGTGAGAACGAAGGGGGAAACCCTTTCACAGCAATTTAATTAGCGGCGAGGATGCAAGGCGGATCTCACAGAGAGGAATCCCGCAGTCCCTTCGATGCAAAAGGTGGCCAAAACGGAGATGTGTGCTGGATTCAAATCAAAACAAAAGTGAGGTCCATTGCGTGCTTTTTATAAATAAACAGTTAACCCAATTAATTGTGTTAAAGTCACGCAATTTCCTTAAATTATGGGGTTTTGAAAGTTGCCAAATGTAAATATATAGTAATCAAACTTAAATAGTGTCTGTTAACGGCTATTCAGTTTTTTCCCCCAATTATTACATTACATTACATTACAAAGTTTTATCGTCCATCATATTAAGTGTATTTAAAACTAATGGCTGCAATTTAAGTGAAGTCACCAAGGTTTGAGCACCGAGCAAGATGATCCGATGATTTCAACCCCAGAGGGCTCGGTTGCAAAAATCAGGAATCAGGAAACATTTATTGCCATAAAAACAGTGCAAAAGGAATAGGTCGTCTACGATCCTTCTAGCTCGCTTCAGGCTCATAGAAGCGAACAAGTCCTGCAGGGACGGCAGATTGCAGCCGATCACCCTCTCTGCAGAGCGGATGACACGCTGCAGCCTGCCATTGTCCTTGGCTGTGGTTGCAGCGTACCAGACGGTGATGGAGGAGCAGAGGATGGACTCGATGATGGCCGTGTAGAAGTGGACCATCATCGTCTTTGGCAGGTTGAATTTATTCAGCTGCCTCAGGAAGAACAACCTCTGCTGAGCCTTCTTGGTGATGGAGCTGATGTTCAGCTCCCACTTGAGGTCCTGGGTGATGGAGCCCAGGAAACGGAAGAAATCCACAGTGGTGACGGGGGAGTCACACGGGGTGATGGGGGAGGGTGGGACTCTGTTCTTCCTGAAGTCCACAACCATCTCCACTGTCTTTAGAGCGTTGAGCTCCAGGTTGTTCTGACTGCACCACGACACCAGATGGTCAGACTCCCACCTGTAGGCGGACTCGTCCCCACCAGAGATCAGTCTAATGAGGGTGGTGTCATCCGCAAACTTCAGGAGCTTGACGGAAAATATCTAATTTATTATTGCTGAATGTTAAAGCTACACTATTGTCAACGTTGAGAAAACCATAAAACAAAGCTATATTCTAACTATCCAACTGAATAACCAAAACAAGTGTTGCCAGCTGCTGCAGCAGCTATCAGCAATACCCCCAAATGATGTTGTTCTGTAAAATAAAATGATTTGACGGGCTTATGAAAGTCCTGCAACAGACACCACATGTGTTTCCTATTTTTTGTGAGGTCTTTTGATCCCTATTGGGATCAAGATATAGCAACAATTTATATAGGCATTAACACTGTCATAATCTGAATCAAAGTTCTGAGCATTGAGCTGAAAAAGTTCGTTTTTTTGCATGTTTTTTTTTCTTTCATTTGTAATATTTGATCTCGTAACGAAGTCAGAGCCCAGGAATGAAGTCGTAGTACCAGCAGCCGCTGCATGAGGGTCAGACGTGACATTACACGCCTTGCACAAGGGCACCTTGCGCATATGTTGAGTTGATGGAGTGATGTGTCTTCCTTTCTTTTTTTCCCTTCACCCCGTACCAGACCCCCCCCAAAAAAAAAAAAAAAAAAGGCCCCGCCGCCCCCCCCCCCCCCCCCCTTCTCATCCTGCTGCTCCCGGTGGTTAGACCACACCAACCCAAGGTCACGCAGTGGGAGTGATCCGCTGCAGTGACTCTCGGATCAGGGCGCTGGATCACTGTTTGGACCTCGGGCACCTGCGTCAGACCCTCGAACCGCGCGCAGCCCGCTGAACGAGTGGGCCCACTCACCGCCGCGTCTCGCCCGGGAGGCAGCTGTGCAATAACACACGAGGAGGAGGAGGAGGCGGGGGGGTAGGGGGGGGGAGTCCCTTCCAGCTTCCGAGAGAAGCACTGACACAAGCTGGTCGGTTAACAGTGAACCCTCGCGCACGTCCACCGCATGTCCACGTGGGCAGCATTGATCGTGACAGACCCTCTAATGAAGACCCCCACCCGGGTCCAGGGTTCGCCCCTCCTCACCGGCGCCAATCTCTAGATGAGTACAAGGAGGGGGCGGGGAGGTTAGTTTGAAGAGAGGAGGGGGCGCGGGGGGCTTTTTGTGAGAGGACGCCGATTTCCCGACTACTTGACCGCCGGAGGAGGAAGGAGAAGAAGGTGAAGAACAGTAACAACAAGCAGAATAAAATGTCCAACCCCGGTGGACAGTAACAGCTGGGGGAGAAGAGAGAAACCAGTCGGACCGCGCGTCAGAAGAACCTCATTAACTCCAGGGAAACCCAGAAAGAGGGAGAAAGCGCGAGAGAGGAGCCAGCGAGGAGGGCGCATCGCTTATTGCTGCTGGTGAGCTTCTTTTTAATAAATATTTTTAATGATTGTCATTCCCGAATCCCGGTGTTCGGTCTCACGTCGCGTCATTTATTGGGTTTGGCGCGCGTCGCCGCTCCGGAGGAGAGCCGGAGATGAAGGGAAAGCTTCTCCGCGGCAATGTTTCATTCACATGCAACAACTGCAGTTTGTGCACAGCTACCGCAGTATAATTGATGGCTTAACAGGTCCCCCAACCCCCCCCCCCCCCGAAGAGGACGTGGTGCTGATGTGAGGATGCGGCGCTGCATGCTGTTGTGTTGTCTGCCATGAGATCCGGTCGGGGATTTAAGTGTTGTTTCTGGGGTATAAAGCAACACATGTTTTTTTCTTCCTTTTTTTGAGGGGAGGTGTGTGTGTGTGAGGGTGTGTGTGTGGGGGGGCTTGTTCTCAGAACGGTCAATTGGCCAAACCCATGCGACACTGTGAAGTGTGTTGCTGTCCCTTTATTGGTCCAATTAAAGACGGAGAAGGGGGGGGGCTGTGACCGGTCAGAAAAACACCGCAACCAGTGGCAAGACTGTTGAGCAGATGCTTAACCTTGCCCCCCCCCCCTCCCCCTGACAGACAGGTTTCTCCTAATGACACAATGTTGTGTGTTTGGCCGAGGAAGCGTAAACCCGCCTCTTCAGTCATCTCTCTCCCTCTCCATCCACCTCTTCTCTGCCTGTGATGTAGTGTTGTAACAGCCACATATGAGCAATGATGTCTAATCCCGACACATCTCACACATGCAACCCCCCCCCCACCACCAAAAAAGAAAAAAGTGAAAAGCTGGTGAAATTGAGTGGCATGACGACTACACAAAAACAACACACACTTAAATGGCTGTTTCTTTGACCCCCCAACAAGAAACAGAGACGGGCAACAGAGGAGGGGTGGGGTGGGGGGGGTAGTGTGGGCCCCCAACTCGGCGCCCATTGATGTCTAACAGCATGTGCGCCGCACCACCTCTGTGTGCACAACCTGGTAATTGCCAACAAACCTGTTGCCGGCCTGAGTAAAAAGACATCGTCGCTCGGCTTTTGTAGCGGTACCGACATGCAGACGGATAATGACGGCCCCCGTGTCACAGGCCCTGCCCCCCCCCGGGGTTTTTTTAATTGCTGGACATCACCAGCGAGGAGTCCCCCGCTCGGAGCGTGAATCCCCCCCCCCCTCCCGCACTCCCACTATGTCCTCTGTTCCTCCTCTGCACATCCCACATGTGTTTACCACGGCCTCTCTCGTTTGATGCAATGCACAGTCATCTGTGGCTCCTCGCCGCCCCCCCCCCCCCCTGCCAAATTTGCGTCTGCCCCCCGGAAAGGGGCCATAACGCGATGACTCCCTGCACTCAGGAGTGTGAACCGGAGTAAAAGAATTTTCTCTGGCAGTTTTCTTCTCTGTTGAGAAGCACACATTGGTGCGCCCCCATACACCCCCCCTCCTCTCCTCTTATTTTCTCCTCACAGCCAATTGCTGCGTGGTGGAAGGGAAGCACCCCCCGATGTATTGTCCCGCGTGGAATGTGTCAGCGAGAGCAGATATCTTGTTGAGGGAGGTGTCCCTCTTTTTCAGAGAGACGCAGACGGACAGGTTGAGCCTCCGTGGCTCGACTGCTGTGAAGCTCCGTCTGAAGCGGCGTGATGGAGGATCTCTTTGTAATTGCTGTTTTTTGGGATTCTGCACGCGGACGCGGGCTGCGGAGCCGGAGGCAGATTGTTTGCGAGGATTTGACATTGTTTCTGGGAGGCACAGTAAGGCGCGATGCAGTAAAAACGGAAAACACATCAGCGATCACAAAACAAACGTGGGTGATGTCCCCCGAGAGACTTAAGGGAAAGCAGGAGGAACATATGCTAACCATAAAGTAAAGTCAATGTTCGCAAGATGTTTGTAAATGGTATGCTAAATACTATGGTTCCTCCCCCCTGCTTGCCACACACACTTCATTCCGGACCGGAGGCCGTGGCATCAAGCTACTCTCGAATAATCGCAACGATCGCAGCTGACAGGAAGTAATCACGGGAGCTCTCCAGGTTTGTCGACGCCTCGACCGCGACCATGTCAGTCGTGACCGAGGGACCACGAGGAGAAAATTTTGCAGCGCCTTTGCCGCAAAGGGGGGGGCGAAGGGGCAGAGAAGTGGGACGAGGCAGTACGAGGAGAAGGAGAAGGCCACGGCGGGTTAATGCAGATGGGTGGGAACAACCAAAAAAATCATTTGTAGGAATGAAGTGAAGAAATGGAGTATTTCAAAGTGCTGCTGCGTAAGTCTTAATTCCCCAACATTTCCAACCGCTTCCAAGAATTTCACTTACCTTATTCATTCTCTGGCTTGGTGGGCTTCCATCATATCCCCATTTATGTGCAGTGAGATTGATCACGGAAGCTGTTCACGCCGGAATAATGTTTCCATCAGACGCCCGCTGATTTATGATCATTTGTGTGATTGCCACTGCTCTTAATCCTGCAGATTCCTCTCCCTTAGCTGTAATTTCTTACGTAAAAACCTCCACAAAACAAATGATCCCTGTTACTGTATTTCCGGCAGAGATGGAGGACTCCTGACAAGAGCAAACTCATGTGAACAATATTTCCGTGATATAGGGAAAGGACCCGCTTGCCAAAACGGCATAAAACATTTTCAATAAGCACATTCTGTGCAGAGCAAATAATCGACTAGTTGTTTGATGAAAGGCTCCTGGAGCTGCCACGGTTGCAGAGCCGCTGCATGCTGTTGAAATTGTTCTCGTTAGATTATCATTGATATTGGATCCGTTATTTAAAAGTATTTAGCTCTAGAATGCTTGTCAAAAGGAGGTTTCTTCGGGTTTTTTCGTAGTCTAGTTGAAACACGACTCCCTGATTTTGATTGAATACGTTTGTTTTAGTGAAATCTATATTTAAGGAGAGGTTGAAGCAAACATAATGCCACCTTGCTCTTGCTTATTTCACCTGCTATGCTCCCACCTGCTATTTTTATCATACGCATATTATTTCTATGATCTTACACAGTCCCAAATATTAGTGTACAGGAACCCTCCAAAATGAAAAAACTAGATTGAAAAAACTCAAATCAGTGATGTCCTAGATGTGGAAATAGAATAACCTGGTAAATATGTCATAGATAACACCGAGCTCCCGTGGGAATGGACTCAGGCGACGTTTTCTGGTTCACGGCTGACTTCACATGTCTGAGAGTCACGTCTCTATTTTCTGGCACAGAAGAGAGTACAGATGCTCATGTTCACAAATATTGATTGTACGTTCCAAGGCCATGGAGATCACATGTGGGAATTCTTCACTTAGGTATTGTTCCCCTTTACGCCTTCCATGATTCCCTCTGACCTTTTGAAGGTTGAGAGGCAAAATGTCTCAGAAGCAGTACTGCTAAACTGTGCTACACACATCTTAGAGCCGAAATGAAGCCGAACAACGGCGCTAGTCTGTCGTAAAATGACTGTAGATCTATGCCTCTCGTGGCTTACTGCTTAATCCAAAACCGAGAAAACCTCTTTAAACGTTTTTTCGTTCAGGGAAGATTGGCTCAAGTCGTGCATTAATTTGATCAGCCGGAGAAGGAAGAAAAGGATGTTAAGCATTAAATATTGGGCTTTTGATTGAAGTTGGCGGAGGACCGAGGGCTTTTAGGCTTTTTAAGTGTAACAAAGATTCAGATTCTGTTTGTGATCCTGATGAGTTGAGAAATGAAGAAGAGCTGGAGGGCGCGTAGACGATCGTTGCGCGCGTTGTGACTCGAGGTGCACAAATCGCAGTCAGGTGCGGTATGTGCAGAGGGAGTGGTGGCGCACTCGGTGTTCTTTTGATGCTTCGGGCAGTTATACACAATTAAACTTCTCCACGGTTGAATAACCTCCGGTACTCCCTCCCCCCCGCCTTCATATCTCTCTGAAATATAACCACCACAGTTGCAGAGTCATTAGGCTCCAACACATCACGCTGACCATCTCAGTCACAGGTGTCTCGACTGCAATTATAAATGTGACGCTTCGGGCACCGCTTTCGCCACACATGCTGGAGAGAAAAGAGACGACGCGCAAAGCTGTTGCCTCGGTTATCCTTTGTTTTTGGCTTGAGATATGGAGAGGGGGATTATTGAGAACCGATGGTCCTGAGGGCTTTCTGCGATGTTAAGAGGAGAGAGAAACTTTAATTGTCTTTTTTTTTTTTTTATGGACCCTGATTAAATTGAGTGTGTCCCGAGTGCTCCGGGGGGGAGACACCAACTTTAACACCGATCATTTTTACGGCTTGGGAAGCTGCGCAGGGACATCGAGACATAAACCGTCCAGTGGGACGGGAGCAAGGCGACATGTTTTTTTGTGGTTATTTTGCAATCGCCTGAGGCGCGCTGCACAATATGTAATGAAGAAAAAACGGTGAATCTGCTGTGTGAGCCCCCTTTGGCGCGGCGCAATGAATCTTGATCAAATTTCAATCACAATTTTGACATGTACCTGACTGAGTGAGCGTCCACTTCCATCACAGTGCAATATAACAGGAGATAAGATAACACATAGCTGGGAAATATTGTAATGTCAAATAGGATGGGAAGCTGTGCAGCTTATAAATGAGCAATTACCAAACATTGACACTGATTTTTAACATTTTATAGTCTGTACATGAAAAAGAGGTGAGGGCCTGTGCAGAGGCACGTTTGTAGATTAAGCCATCTGAATAACTCTCCATCACATTGTGCGGCCAGTTGAATGTACCATTGTGTTACATCCTATGCAGAGGACTGCAATGTTCTTATGTAACTATAAGTACTTTCTGCACAGACATCAACAGCTCCCTTTATTAAAAGTAAGCTCACTACCGAGACCATAGTGTTATTCTTTTTTTTGTATTTTTTTAATTCCAGGCCGCCCAATGATTGTGTTTTTTTTTTTAATGCGCGTAGCGTTTGGCCGCCCTCATGTTTATTGCACCAGGCATGGCAAAGCATCACTTCCTTCACAGGGATTGTT